AGTTTTCAATTTGTCAAATTTTTCATTTCTTCAGTTTTTCGATTGATAATTTTTCAATTTTAAATGCTTCGATTTTCGAACTTTTTGAATTTTTCATTTCTTCCGTTTTTCAATTAGTAATTTTTCAATTTCGAGAGCTCAATTTTTCGATTAACAAATTTTTCATTTTTCAAGACAAAAATTCAATTAAAGAATTGGAAAAACAAAAAAAAAACAAAATTTGAAAATCGAGAAGCTGAAAGATCGAAAATACTGACATATTAAAAATTATAAAATCTAAAAAATTAATCAAAAATTAAGAAAACGAAATTTTTTTTAACTTTAGGTTTTCCGATTTGTAATTTTTCGAGTTTTGGGTTTTAAATTTTTCTATTTTTTAACTTTTGAATTTTTCAATTTCACGATTTTTCATTTTGCAAGCTTTCACGTTTTCCACTTTTAGATATTTTAATTTTTTCAATTTTTCAACTTGTCGAATTTCCACTTTTGAATTTTTCATTTCTTCCGTTTTTCAATTTTCATTTTCAAAACTTTGGCTTTTTCAGTTTTTAATTTCTTTAGTTTTTGGATTTTCAAATTTTTCAATTTTCAGTTTTCTGAGTTTTCAAGACAAAAATTCAACTGTAAAATCTAAAAAATAAATCAAAAATTAAGAAAACGAAAAATTAATTTGCAATTTTTCAAGTTTTCAATTTATAAGATTTTTCATTTCTTCCGTTTTTCGATAATTTTTCAATTTTAAATGCTTCGATTTTCCAACTTTTGAATTTTTCGTTTCTTCCGTTTTTCAGTTGGTAATTTTTTAATTTCGAGAGCTCAATTTTTCGATTTTCAGATTTTTCATTTTTCAAGACAAAAATTCAATTGAAGAATTGAAAAAACAAAAAAAAACCGAAAATTTGAAAATCGAGAAGCTGAAAGATCGAAAACGCTGAAATATTAAAAATTACAAAATACAAAAAATTAATGAAAAATTAAGAAAACGAAAAATTTTTTAACTCTGGATTTTCCGATTTGTAATTTTTCGAGTTTTGGGTTTTAAATTTTTCGATTTTTTAACTTTTGAATTTCTTAGTTTCACGATTTTTCGCTTTTCAAGCTTTCGTGTTTTTCATTTTTAGATATCTTAATTTTTTCAATTTTTCAACTTGTCGTATTTCCAACTTTTGAATTTTCATTTCTTCAGTTTTTCGATTGATAATTTTTTCAATTTTCAATTTTAAACACTTCGATTTTCTTGTTTTCGATTTTTCAATTTTGAGAGCTCGATTTTTCGATTTTCCGAGACAAAAATTCAACTGAAGAATCGAAATATTGAAATAATAAAAATTGTAAAATCTAAAAAATAAATCAAAAATTAAGAAAACGAAAAATTAATTTGCAATTTAAGTTTTCCGATTTCCAATTTTTCCAGTTTTGGGTTTTAAATTTTTGGATTTTTTTAACTTTTGAATTTTTCAATTTCACAATTTTTCGTTTTGCAAGTTTTCGTGTTGTCAATTTTTCAAGTTTTCAACTTATCAAATTTCTAACTTTTGAATTTTTCATTTCTTCTGTTTTTCGATTGGTAATTTTGGCTTTTTCAGTTTTCAATTTTAAATACTTCGATTTTCCAATTTTTTTATTTTTCTTCTTTTTTTTAATTTTTTTGAGGCGTCAATTTTTTGAGTTTTCTAGGCAAAAATCCTTCCATTGAATTTTTGTCTTGAAAAATCAAAAAATTAAGAAAACGAAAAATTCATTTGCAACTTCAGTTTTCCGATTTGCTGTTTTCGAGTTTTGAGATTTAAATTTTCCGTTTTTTTTTCAATTTCCGAAATTTTTCAATTTCTAGATTTTTTGTTTCACAAGTTTCCGAATTTTCAATTTATGGAATTTCTAACTTCTGAATTTTTGCATTCCTTCAGTTTTTCAATTTTTCGAGTTTTCTTCCAGTTTTAAAATTTTGACTTTTTCAAATTTAAATATTTCGATTTTCCAACTTTTGGATTTTTCTTTTTTCGATTTTTCAATTTTGAGACTTCAATTTTTCGATTTTCCGTTTTTTTATTTTTCAAGACAAAAATTCAATTGTAAAATCTAAAAAATGAATAAAAAATTAAGAAAAACGAAAAATTAATTTGCAATTTAAGTTTTCAGATTTGCAATCTTTCGAGTTTTGGGTTTTAAATTTTTCGATTTTTGAACTTTTGAATTTTTCAATGTATCTATTTTTCGATGCAAGTTTTCCTGTCATCAATTTTTTAAGTTTTTAATTTGCCGAATTTCCAACTTTTGAATTTTTCATTTCTTCAGTTTCTCGATTGATAATTTTTCTAGTTTTCAATTTTCAATTTTAAATACTTCGATTTTCCAACTTTTGAATTTTTCTTCCTCTTTTCCATTTTTCAATTTTGAAACTTCAATTTTTCGATATTCAGTTTTTTATTTTTTAAGACAAAAATTCAATTGTAAAATCTTAAAAATAAATAAAAAATTAAGAAAACGAAAAATTAATTTGCAATTTTAGTTTTCAGATTTGCAATTTTTCGAATTTTGGGTTTTAAATTTTTGGATTTTTTAACTTTTGAATTTTTCAATTTCTCTATTTGTCGTTTTGCAAGTTTTCGTGTTGTCAATTTTTCAAGTTTTCAACTTATCGAATTTCAAACTTTTGAATTTTTCATTTCTTCAGTTTTTCAATTGATAATTTTTCTAGTTTTCAATTTTCAATTTTAAATAGTTCGATTTTCCAACTTTTGAATTTTTCTTCCCCTTTTCCATTTTTCAATTTTGAGATTTCAATTTTTCGATTTTCAGTTTTTTTATTTTTCAAGACAAAAATTCAACTGAAGAACTGAAAAAATTAAAAACCGAAAATTTGAAAATCGGGAAGCTGAAAGATCGAAATATTGAAATATTAAAAATTGTGAAATCTAAAATATAAATAAAAAAATTGTAATTTTTTGAGTTTTGGGTTTTAAATTTTTTGATTTTTCAACTTTTGAATTTTTCGTTTCTTCAGTTTTTCGATTGGTAATTTTTCGAATTTTCAATTTTGAAATTTTTGAGTTTTCAGTTGTAAATATTTCCATTTTCCAACTTTTGGATTTTTCTTCTTTTCGATTTTTTAATTTTACGACTTCAATTTTTCGATTTTCAGTTTTTTTTATTCTTCAAGACAAAAATTCAATTGGAAAATCGAAAAATTGTAAAACTAAAATTTGAAGAAACGAAAAATTGAAAAATCGAAAAGTTGAAAATTCAAAAATTGCAAATCGAAAAATCAAAAAATAAATCAAAATCAAGAAAACGAACAATTAATTTGCAATTTAAGTTTTCCCGTTTTGAGTTTTCAATTTTTCGATTTTCAGATTTTTGATTTTTCAAGACAAAAATTCAATTGAAGAATAGAAAAAATAAAAAAATCCAAAACTTATAAATCGAGAAGCTAAAACATCGAAATATGTATTGAAATACGTATTAAAAATTGTAAAATCTAAAAAAAATCAAAAATTAGGGAAACGAAAAATTAATTTACAATTTAAGTTTTCCGATTTGCAATTTTTCGAGTTTTGGGTTTTAAATTTTTGAATTCTTCGTTTTGGTGTTGTCAATTTTTCAAGTTTTCAACTTGTCGAATTTCCAACTTTTGAATTTTTCCTTTCTTCGATTTTTCGACTGGTATTTTCCGAGTTTTCAATTTGAAAATTTTGTTTTCTTTGGTTTTTAATTTCCTTGGTTTTTCGATTTGCAAATTTTTCAGTTTTCAATTTTATACATTTCGATTTTCCAACTTTTTGATTTTTCTTCTGTTCCATTTTTCATTTTTGAGGCTTCAATTTTTTCATTTTCAAAATTATTTATATGAAAAATCAAAAAATTAAGAAAACGAAAAATTAATTGAGATTTAAATTTTTCGTTTTGCAAGTTTTCATGTTTTCAATTTGTCGAACTTCTAACTTCTGAATTTTTCATTTCTTCAGTTTTTCAATTGATAATTTTTCGAGTTTTCAGTTTTAAAATTTTGACTTTTTCAATTTTAAATACATATTTCGATTTTCCAACTTTTCGATTTTTCAATTTTGAGACTTCAAGACAAAAATTCAATTGAAGAATCGAAAAAATAGAAAAATTTAAAAACGGGAAAATTAAAATCGAGAAACTGCAAAATCGAAAGACTGAAATGAAAAAACCGAAAAACCGCAAAATAGTAAATTAAAGAATACAAGATTGAAAAATCGAAAATTTGAAAAATTCCAAAGTTAAAAAAACGAACAATTGCAAAATCGAAAAAATTAATCAAAAAATTGAAGCAACGAAAAATTAAATACCTAGAAATTGAAAAATCTAAGAACTGTAAAACTGAAAAATTTAAAATGATAATAAAAAACTGAAAAATTAAAAATCAAAATTTTTTAAAATCGATTCAAAACAGACCAAGTATCCTCAAGATTCTTCATTCCTTAAAAAAACGCCTAAAGTTTCTTTTCAATATTTTAAAAATGAGGCACTAGGAGTCCAGAGATCCTAAAAAAAATTCAGAACCAAAAGTTCTTTAAAACTGATTCAAAAACAGATCAAAAAGGACCCCTCAAGACTCTTTCAAATACATAACTAAAAAATAAGACAATTAAATTCAAACTTTCGGGAAATAGAAATTACAAAAATGTGTAAAATGAACACCACATAGTTCATCGTTCCCCTTTCATCCAGTTCCTTATTTACAACGCTATAAAAATTACAACGTCACTCTAATCAGTTAGATTAAACAAAATACCAGTATAAAAACAATACTAAATATTTTCCAGTTTCAACGATAAAGAAAATTCGTCGCGCTGATAAGCAAAACACCTTTTTCATTACAACTATTACTCAACATTACGACAGTGATTTTCCAACTTTTACACCTAACATTAAAAAGATTCCACTTCACAACTAGGTCACTCCTACTTTTCCACTCTAACGAAATTTTCGTTAACCCCCATTTATTACGCAACAAAAAAACCTCTAAAACTCACCCCAATAGAAGCTGCACTTCGTAATCTCCAGGAGATCAGGTACTAGACAGTGTATGAAGTCCACCTGCGTGTGGCAGCCGGCGATCGTGTCCAGGGGGCACGACCTCAGCGTCACGTGGTTCTGGAAGAGCGCCCTCAGGGAGTCCACCGTGAGGTCCGGAGGGCAGACCAGCTGCAGCCTCCTCGGCACTTGGCTTCCCTCCGAGTCCATGTCCGAGCACAGCAGTTGGACTCTCCGCACGGGTCGGAAGTTCGCGGGGGCCTCGACTCCTTGCTCGATCTCGCGGGCTCGCGCTAACCTAGCGGCTTCATCACAGTCTTCGTGCACGGTACGGATCCTGGAAGGGAAAGAGTTCGGTTACAGCGTCGCCGTCGATCTCGCCTAGATGATGTTATCTACCGCGGTGCCGGAATAGTTTGTGAACGCGAAAATAAACGAGATAAAGATTTTAAACAAATACGAGTGTTTGTGGAGATAAGAGCGGGAAGTTGTGGTGGTGGCGAGGTGTCATTGCTAATTTTGGAAAGGGATCGGGGATGCGGTCGATGCTATTTTTGCTTTAGGTTTAGATTAATAAAGTTGCGGGTTTTCTCACATAAGATTTTAAAAAATTATTCGGGTTTTTACTTTTCTGAAGTTGTCGGTTTAGAAGCACGGTAATACAAGTTAGGAACTAGATCTAGAACTGTAGGGGACAAAGATCGGTAAAAAATATATTTATCTTATTTCTCAAGTTGTAATGATTTAACAAAAACTATTGTTTTCTTAAAAATGACACAATACTCTAGCTTTTAATCGTTATGTATACCACATTGTTCACATTTTTTTGAATGTCGTCTTTTTACAGATTCTAAGGCAGATTTAACAATATTTACAGAGTAGTTAATGCATGTACCCAAACGGATTTTCATTAATTTTTTTAGATAATAATCTATTGTAAAAAATTATAACCGTAATGTTTTTATCAAAATATCAAGTTTTTCGTGGCTTTTGAGCAAACTGAAATACAAATAGGTTTATTACACTTCAAACTTGATAATTTTCTGAAGTGACGTCATTAATTTACTTGGAGGGGATCATTTTATTAAATTTCTACAATCGTCAAACTAATGTTAGTGTTCTTGTGAAGATTTGAAGAATATTGATTATGTGGGTTTGTTTATTTACGAAAACTCTATAATTATTTACAAAACAGAAAAAAGCCAAAGATCAAAATTGTAGGGTTCTTTGATTAATATTTACTAAAATTATTTTTAACTACACAGAGTGTTGTTTTTGACACCTCAGACTGTGCATCTCCTCCTCTCTAGCATCTCTAAAAAATATACTAGAGGACCGAGACTTGTTCGCATTAAAAAAAAATAACACTAGGACCCCTCGAGATTCTTTCAGATTCTTAAAAAGACACTAGACCCTCAGAGATTATTTTGGATTCTCTAAAGGAAGGTAGGGAACCCCGAGATTCTTAAAGCTTCTCTTTAAAAAGATATACCCCCGAGATTCTTTTGACACTTTGGGAAAAAAACACTAGGGGCCCCCGAAATTTGTTCGCATTTTAGGAAAAAAAAACACGGGGACTCTTCAAGATAAAAAAAAAATACTAGGGGACCCGAGATTCTTAAAGTTTCTCTTAAAAAAGGCATTAAGGGACCCTGCGACTCTTTCGCATTTTAGAGAAAAAATAAGACTAGGAGTCCTCGAGATTCTTTCACATTCTCAAAAAAGACACTAGAGAGACCCCGAGATTCTTTGACATTTGGAGAAAAAAACACTAGGGGCCCCCCTAGATTCTTTAAGATTCTCTAAAAGACATTAGGGAACCACCCCCAGATTTTTTCGCATTTTAGAAAAAATGTAATACCAGGAGCCCTTGAAATTCTTTCAGATTCTCTCTAAAAAAAGACACTAGGGAGTTCCCGAGATTTTTTCACATTTTGGAAAAAAACACCACGGGACCCCGAAATTCCTAAAGCTTCTCTTAAAAAGAGGACACTAGAGGACCCCGAGAAAGAAGACACTATGGGAACTCGAGATTCTTTCGAACTTCAGTTATAAAAAAACCCTAGGAGCCCTCGAGATTCTTCATATTCTCAAAAAAAAAGACACTAGGGAGACCCGAAGATTTCTTGACATTTTTGGAAAGAAAATACTAGGGGCCCCCGAGATTCGTTCGCATTTTAGGAAAAAAAAAAACACGGGGACTCAATATAAAAAAAAAATACTAGGGGACCCGAGATTCTTAAAGTTTCCCTTAAAAAAAAAAGGCATTAAGAGACTCTGCGACTCTTTCGCATTTTTGAAAAAAAAAATAAGACTAGGAGTCCTCGAGATTCTTTCAAATTCTCAAAAAAGACACTAGAGAGACCCCGAGATTCTTTGACATTTGGAGAAAAAAAAACACTAGGGGCCCCCGAGATTCTTTAAGATTCTCTAAAAGACATTAGAGGATCCCCAGATTTTTTCCCATTTTAGACAAAATGTAATACTAGGAGCCCTTGAAATTCTTTCAGATTCTCTCTAAAAAAAGACACTAGGGAGTTCCCGAGATTTTTTCACATTTTGGAAAAAAACACCACGGGACCCCGAAATTCCTAAAGCTTCTCTTAAAAAGAGGACACTAGAGGACCCCGAGAAAGAAGACACTATGGGACCTCGAGATTGTTTCGAACTTCAGTTATAAAAAAACCCTAGGAGCCCTCGAGATTCTTCATATTCTCAAAAAAAAAGACACTAGGGAGACCCGAAGATTTCTTGACATTTTTGGAAAGAAAATACTAGGGGCCCCCGAAATTCGTTCGCATTTTAGGAAAAAAAAAACACGGGGACTCTCAATATAAAAAAAAAATACTAGGGGACCCGAGATTCTTAAAGTTTCCCTTAAAAAAAAAGGCATTAAGAGACTCTGCGACCCTTTCGCATTTTTGAAAAAAAAAAAAAATTAAGACTAGGAGTCCTCGAGATTCTTTCAAATTCTCAAAAAAGACACTAGAGAGACCCCGAGATTCTTTGACATTTGGAGAAAAAAAAACACTAGGGGCCCCCGAGATTCTTTAAGATTCTCTAAAAGACATTAGAGGATCCCCAGACTTTTTCCCATTTTAGACAAAATGTAATACTAGGAGCCCTTGAAATTCTTTCAGATTCTCTCTAAAAAAAGACACTAGGGAGTTCCCGAGATTTTTTCACATTTTGGAAAAAAACACCACGGGACCCCGAAATTCCTAAAGCTTCTCTTAAAAGGAGGACACTAGAGGACCCCGAGAAAGAAGACACTATGGGAACTCGAGATTATTTCGAACTTCAGTTATAAAAAAAACCCTAGGAGCCCTCGAGATTCTTCATATTCTCAAAAAAAAAAGACACTAGGGAGACCCGAAGATTTCTTGACATTTTTGGAAAGAAAATACTAGGGGCCCCCGAGATTCGTTCGCATTTTAGGAAAAAAAAAAAACACGGGGACTCAATATAAAAAAAAAATACTAGGGGACCCGAGATTCTTAAAGTTTCCCTTAAAAAAAAAGGCATTAAGAGACTCTGCGACTCTTTCGCATTTTTGAAAAAAAAAATAAGACTAGGAGTCCTCGAGATTCTTTCAAATTCTCAAAAAAGACACTAGAGAGACCCCGAGATTCTTTGACATTTGGAGAAAAAAAAACACTAGGGGCCCCCGAGATTCTTTAAGATTCTCTAAAAGACATTAGAGGATCCCCAGATTTTTTCCCATTTTAGACAAAATGTAATACTAGGAGCCCTTGAAATTCTTTCAGATTCTCTCTAAAAAAAGACACTAGGGAGTTCCCGAGATTTTTTCACATTTTGGAAAAAAACACCACGGGACCCCGAAATTCCTAAAGCTTCTCTTAAAAGGAGGACACTAGAGGACCCCGAGAAAGAAGACACTATGGGAACTCGAGATTATTTCGAACTTCAGTTATAAAAAAAACCCTAGGAGCCCTCGAGATTCTTCATATTCTCAAAAAAAAGACACTAGGGAGACCCGAAGATTTCTTGACATTTTTGGAAAGAAAATACTAGGGGCCCCCGAGATTCGTTCGCATTTTAGGGAAAAAAAAAAAAAACACGGGGAATCAATATAAAAAAAAAATACTAGGGGACCCGAGATTCTTAAAGTTTCCCTTAAAAAAAAAGGCATTAAGAGACTCTGCGACTCTTTCGCATTTTTGAAAAAAAAAATAAGACTAGGAGTCCTCGAGATTCTTTCAAATTCTCAAAAAAGACACTAGAGAGACCCCGAGATTCTTTGACATTTGGAGAAAAAAAAACACTAGGGGCCCCCGAGATTCTTTAAGATTCTCTAAAAGACATTAGAGGATCCCCAGATTTTTTCCCATTTTAGACAAAATGTAATACTAGGAGCCCTTGAAATTCTTTCAGATTCTCTCTAAAAAAAGACACTAGGGAGTTCCCGAGATTTTTTCACATTTTGGAAAAAAACACCACGGGACCCCGAAATTCCTAAAGCTTCTCTTAAAAAGAAGACACTAGAGGACCCCGAGAAAGAAGACACTATGGGAACTCGAGATTCTTTCGAACTTCAGTTATAAAAAAAACCCTAGGAGCCCTCGAGATTCTTCATATTCTCAAAAAAAAAAAAGACACTAGGGAGACCCGAAGATTTCTTGACATTTTTGGAAAGAAAATACTAGGGGCCGCCGAGATTCTTTTGCATTTTAGAAAAAAATAACACTGGGAGTCTGGATTTCAAATTCTCTATAAAAAAGTAAAGGGAGACCTCGAGATTTTTAAAGCTTCTCTTTAAAAAGAAAGACATTAGAAGATTCTTTCACATTTTGGGGAAAACACTTGGACCCCCCGACGTCGTTTCAGTTTCTCTAAAGAAAAAAAAAGACACCAGAGGACCCAGAGATTCTTTCGCATTGTAAAAAAAAAATAACACTAGAAGCCACTTTCCATTAAATAAAACTCTGTATGAATAAAATAATTTTGGTATATTCAATTCAATGAACTGAAATGCAGGCGGGGTGGGTGGGCGGGGTTAATTATATGTTCTTTTGTTGAGGAGGAATGGGAACTACTTAATAGAACCTAGTCTCCAACAAGAAAGAAAAAATAGCACGAATCGCATTTTTTTTGTTATACTAATTGCTATTAGATTTATTTCTTATTTCAGAAGACAAAATGTGAGGACGGGCGTGGCTAAGGTTAACTTTGTCCTACACTAGCAAGTAATAGCCCCACCCACCCACCCTCTCTTCATTCTGAAGACTACTCTTAATACTGTTAATTAATGACAACATTATTATTTTATTAAAATTTTAAGCAAATCCGTCAACAATTGGTAAAAAATTGATAAAC